ACGACGATTTCTCGTTGTTAGCTTTCACAGCTACATTCATTACGTTCGTTTTGTGCGCATTTACGAAGCGTTTTCCTCTAATTCTCTCGCCTTTCAACATTCGGACACGCGCGCGTATGAAAGTGCACTTTGGCTTCTAGATGCAACCGTCGTAGATGAGTTTGTCGGTCACCCGACTAAAAGATAGCCGAATTTTAAAGATCATCGACGCAGTTTTATTATTACACATCGAGAGGGCAAACCTGGCTAACCTTTAAAAAGCGTACGTGTAATGCTAAGCACTCGAATGAGAACTAGCTGCATTCGTCCAAACTGGGCACTTCAGCTTGCGTTTCCGCAGAACGAACATCTAGAGGAGGCTAATTGTAAGATAGATTTGACGCAGTTTTTATCGCACATCCCGAGGGCTTTCTAGAGATTGCCCGTTCCATTAGCTAGACTGTAAGCATCGGAACTGGGTGCGTCAGACACTATCGGCAACAAAGTTACATGAAACGCTGTAGTTTAGTACAAAGCTGTCTTGGACATGGCTGGACCGTGACGTGATATGGTGCTTTAGGATGCATGCTCGCAGAACGAACATATCTTCAAGATGCAGTGATCGCAAGCTGCACATTATAGCCTCAGCCTTAACCATGGAACCAGCTAGACATTAAATCTTACGCAGCAGATTCGTTGTTACACTTACCTACGATAAAATATTAGCACGAAAAGTATCGATCGGATTTGGATGCGATTTAGCCTCATACCCTTGAAACAGACTCAGGCCTTAGTTAGAGGGGCTAAGTCAATGCTTGTATAAGAGACAAGAAATCACTGACTAATCAATGTTGGTTCAAGTTCAGTTCGACTCTACGCCTTCTGAAGTTAACTCTTTATTTTTTCCTATGCTTTTCGGCAATATTTTCTTACGTTCTTACTGATCGGTTGTTGAGGTGAATTACTATTTCGCGATAATATTTTGGAGTTTTTCCCTGATAGGGCTGAGTTTACAGTCGAAAGTGATCTCGGCGGTCCCATAATTCGCCGTTATTTTTCGATGCAATTGTTTACGAATATAACCTTACGTTGAGTAAATTATACATAAACTCTAGTGCCACATCAATTATTCGTCCTATTTGTTCCACTGTTTGCGCTAAGATGTTATATTGTTTACGATTAAACTTTTATTCCATTACATTTTCAAAGTTATTTTCTGCTGTTTTGCAGGTAAATAGGTTATGATTCCGGCTTGAATTTTCACACCTTCAGATGGGCAGTTCTATAAAACGGAATGAGTGGGACAGTTCGTTGCTTCATTTTCAATTTATAATTTCTTATTGACTCGTGCTGATGGCCACGAACGGTAATTGGTTATGAGCAATGGATGCAGTACGTGACGATTTTGTATCGTTGTTCAAGCTTCCTACATCGCCGCGCATATGTCTGTTCCTAATTCTACTCGTTTTGACACCTCTTCTGTATTTTGTTGGTGAGAGGTCTCTGAAGTATGATGGTTTGGGTATGTCCTTATTGTTTCATTCTTGAAAACTTTTCGTTTGCCAGTCCTGCAAATTATTGTTCTGTGTCTCGTGAAAGTCTCTTGAGACTGAGTCATTACGTTGATTTTTTTATAGTGAGAATTGAATGATTTCATTGGTAATTCAATCGTGGTTTACATAATGAGCTGTTTAGTGCAGTTTCTCCATTTCAATACCTTTTCAGTCGATTTCTTTGCTGGTTTGCATCGAACAATATCCTGATATAATGCTTTCAGTTATATCGGCTTCGTCAATCACCTCACCATATTATTATACACTGGAACAAATGCGAGGTTTTGCCTTTAAGAACAATATTGCAAAGGATTACAAACCGCATTACTATACGAGATGGAACCTGTCGTTCAATCGAATGCTCGAAGATCTCGATAACAGGTATTTGGTTTGACTCTTTGTTCATGATGGACTTCCCGGATAATGTTCGTATTTTGCGTTGTTGATTGAGCTCACCTTGACAAATCAACACATGATTCCAAGTTCTTTCTTATTCTGTCTGTAAGTTGTTTTTAGCTCATTTGAGTGAGAGTCACTTCAGTTCGATGTATCAAATAACAATTCTACACCAGAGTGTTGATAGATTCACTTCCAACATTTACTACAAATATAATGCGAATTTTATATAAACTTATTGTTTTAAAATTTTAATTCTTTTCATTGCAGATTTGATATGAGCGGTAATGATGTTATCGTTTTTTTGCATATTCAAAAGACTGCGGGTACAAGTTTTGAGAAATTTCTTGTGCGGCATTTGAACATCTCAAATCCATGTGCATGCCGTATGGGTAAGAAAAGATGTTCGTGTCACAGGCCGGGTTCTGGTAAAAAGGTTATATTTTCGGCTTGATTTGTTTTGTCTTGATGATCATTGTTTTCCTTTAGGATTTCTCGTATTGTGGAGGTCTAATTATTTTCGTTTTGCCTCAGACTTTCGTCTGATATTCTCACTTAGCTTTATTGGTAGTCGATAAATGGAAATCTTTTTTACATGAGTTGAAAGTACTCATCAAATCTTTTCCCAGTGCAAAAAGTGAGAAAAAATTCCCAATAATGTGAAAGATATGGAGCAGACCTCATTTTATGCAAGCGTATTCGGTTAAACTTGTAAACCCCGAAGAGCATAATTCGCGAAATTTGATGGTTATCAGTGTTCACGTACGAGTTTCGAGTTTCTGAATGCAACCATCAGTGTAATATTTGAATTGAAAGATTAATCTGAGGTGCGCGTGAGCCGAAACTGTTGACATATGAAGTGTTCACTGAATGTATCTACTGCTATCATCGATGGGTTACGTGTGATCTTCTGAATGACTAGCACTCATATTGCATTCAAGTTGTTTACTTGGTTGATATTTACAGATCTGGTTATTTTCACGGTACTCAACAGGTTGGGTGTGTGGCTTACATGCTGATTACACTGAATTGTTCGTATCCGGATGTGTCGATAACGCGTTGGATCGTAAGGAAGGTAGACTTGTTTTCACTGCTTTTTCCATTTGCTTAGTTGATGGTACTTTGTGGGATCGTCAGGATCAGAATTAGACTGCGTCGGTTTCCGTCGAAACTTTGTTCATTCGGTAACACATCTCATGAATAATAACTGGTTGTCAATAATTTTAGATTTGCTTACATGTAAATGATACTATCAGTGAGGCTTACTTGTTAAAAGGTAATCATTCACATTATGAAAATCATCGCAGGAAATTAGGAATCTGCTCAGTATGGCATTCGTTTATGAAGAGGCAGTGGAGGAATTGAAACATCTGACTTGGCCTAGCAGCGTTCCAATAATGGGGCAATGATAACCGCAGGATGCAGTTTAGCTCCATCTGCCTGGGACAGACTCATAGTTTTGCTTAGACTTACGTTGAGGTTTAGGCTCACGTCCGAGGTGAGGGAGAGCTGAAGTGACCTGTGTGATCTTAGAGTTTACCACAGTTCCTTACTTACACTTTACCCATTTACGAAGATACTCACCTGCAATCTGGAAATCAGAACGGATCACCGGGATTCTGTTCGGTTGATTCCAGTCTGTGTTTCGTATTGCTTATTCTCATATCGGTTATCGACAACCAATATATTCTGATGATGAATGATGAGTGCTGAATTAAGGTGTTCATCGCAAACGTCGCTATTTTTACACGTCGTTCTTGCGCGAGCCAGTGTCAAGGTTCATATCCGAGTATCGACATGTTGAACGTGGTGCAACCTGGTTGTCAGCAAGGCATATGTGCAATGGCCGACCACCAACTCCCGAGCAGTTGCCGATGTGCTTCGATCCCGAGATTGGTTGGGATGGCGTCACAATTGATCAGTTCCTTGCTTGTCCCTATAATCTCGCTTTTAATAGGTATTCATTCGCTTATCATAAAGTTTCCTTCTCGTCCGCACTCTGCATATGAATCTTCGAAAGGGATTGGCAGATAGAGGCGATCAGGAAAGCAGATGTGTACAGCGATTGCTGAATCAAGTTTTAGTTGCGTTATCTTCTCGTTGTTGAGAATTCCTTGCGCTGCTTATTAATAGAAAGTGAAGTGGAGATTGACGTGATAATGGAAGTTATATTGAAATAATTTAGACAAACACGAATGCTTGCTGATTTGACGTTAGTGGGTTGTTATGATAGACACGCGATGGATAATAAAACTCGTGAAAGAATTATGTTGGAGAGTGCGAAGAATAATCTGAGGAATTTGGCTTTTTTTGGACTAAAGGAACGGATGGCCGACAGTCAGTGGATGTTCGAACAACTATTTCAGCTCAGGTTAGTCTCACGTAATATTTTTTTTTTACTATCAAAGTTACTGAAACATTTTTTATAAGCATTGTTTCGATGTGTTATGCCAAACATGAACGAAATTAAGTATTCGATTTCAATTATTCATATTCTCATGAATCAATACTATGGATTTTAATTGGCATTAAGGTAACCCTAATTATATGTTGTCAAATCATGATGATGCTTTCAGAGATGCATTGGAAGTGCTCAAAAGATAACATTGAGTTTTCATTGACTAGATTTAGATATTCATTGAGTTGAATTTCCGAAGTGTTTGTTTCCTTGGCGAAAGAGCAAGTTCTTTACAGATTCACGAAAAAGTTCTGTTCATTTATAGGTTTACGAAAGACCTCTCAGATTGGCGAAGGAGCAAGTCGAACGATACTGAACTAACACCTCAACAGTTGGAACTGATCAAAGCAAAGAATAGTCTCGATATGCAATTATACGCTTTTGCTCAGAAACTTTTTCAGAAGAGGTTTGTTTCGAATCGATTATATTTCGGACTGTTCAGTAGAAGTTGGAGGTGTAATGTTTCGAAATTGGAGGATTTATTCTTTATTCTCCATACATCGATCGTTGTTCGGATAGTGGGTATTGAATTGTTTCTCTGTGCCCCTCTTCAAACATATCGATGCTGTTAGAACTTTCATCACCTCATTCGTTAATGGACTGTTTTAGATTGAAGCAGCTTCGATCCGACGACTATAATTATGGCAGTGACATGACACAAAATGCTTCTGAAAAATTACGTTCCAATCCTATCGGTATGCCTTCAAAGAGTGTATGTAATCCGTGAAAAAAAAAAGAATCACTTAAATCACAATTTTCAAATTCAGTTTCGCTGACAATGAGCGTGCTTTGTTTTGCATTTAGGTGAGATTGTGCATTTTGCATTGATTCAGTGCTGTCGTTTTCAGCTGAACTGAAAAACGTGAACGAACAAATTAATGAGAGTGTTTCGAATGGAGGGCATCATTCAGATCAAATGAGTGATGAGGAGAAGCAGTTGCTGAATGTGTACGAAAGCGATAACGAAACGATGCCTGGCAAAGACTGGCAAAGCAATGAGGTTGAGAGGGATGATGCGACCGACGTAGAAGATCGACAACATTCTCAAGATAGCATAGATGCTTACTGATGACAATCATGGTAACATGGATGTATCCAATTTCGGATCCTTGTAGGACTGCTTTGTTGAACACTAACTTTACTTTGATTTTATTTTGTGAATAGTTGTTACGTGATTATACATAATAGTTCATCGCAGCTGTAATCGTTTGCTTGTTCTTAATTCTGAACATATCAAATTATGTGACACATACGTTTGTTATCCAACTTATGCAATCTTTGATTTTTAAGTGATATTCATTTTGTTTTGAGCAATAATCGTTAAGTTTCTTGTTTGTTTTCGTTGGTTTTGATGTTTTGGAACGTTTTTTTATTAGCATTTCGTTCATTTTTCATCGTTCACCTTTCATCGGGATATTGGAATCTTAGCAGTGGTTTTACGGCGAGGATGGACGTAAACAAGGTATTCCTATCAAAATTCATTATTTATAGTCACGTTGAGGATGGTCATTCTAGAACGAGTTTAGAGTTGTCCTATCGCACAGATTGTTTGAATCTGTCGTTATTTTCTATAACGTTTTCGTCCCTACTNTATGATAGGTTATTGCTTAAAGTGCATGTGCTGTTTTTATAGAGAGTAAATCTGATCTTACAGGGTTCTGATACTTATAGGGCAATATTGCCGTCGAAATAGGGTTCTTTTATTTCAGTTTTTGTTAAACTTGTTCTATTAAGATTCACCAAGCAGCCGCCTCGATTATTCGGTATTCTTATTAATTTCTTCAAACAGTCAATCGGTTATGGTTAATGGCGATTGTAATTTTTCAAAATCGACTTTGATAATTTTCTCGTTTTTCAGAGGTCGTACCAAGAAGCTGACTGAGAAGTTTGTTATTCTAAGATTGTTATTCTTTTCGAGGTAATAAAATACTAATATTCCGTCAAAACAATTTTAGGGTGGATATCCATAGCACTTGTTCACTCATGTTATTATCACTCATTTTCATAATATTGCTCACTGATTTGTCGTTACGAGTGAATATTAATGCTCGTTCAACTAACAATTGCTATCTCTTCGAATCACTTCTTCATAAGTGGTCTTCGTTTTGTTTTTGAAATGTTGTTTTTGTTGTACTCTTGTGCATATCCACACGGTCAAATCGCTATTCATTGATAAAATTTGCGTGTGTTTGAATGGAACGCGGAAATTGTTATTCTGAATGGTANATGTGCTTTATATGTCATGGTGAACGTTATTTGTATTTTAAAAAAAATCGTTTCCTCAATAATTCGTGTTTCGTCGCTCAGAAAAGTGCGTTCTGGGCGATAAAGACATCATGTGAAAATTTGCTGAAAAAGCAACAAATCTGAAAGTTAGCTGCCTCATAATACGCTCTTATCATAATATGCCATACTGTGCGAATTTTGAATTTTCCAACTTCCTTGGTCTCGCTCTCTGAAAGATATGCCTTCAATCGAAAACAAGAAGAAATTAGTTTCTTTGCGGGAAGAAATTAGCTTTCGACATTCCCGTTTTTCTCATTTAAGACGCCAGAATACGGCATAGTGCAATCGTTTAAGATATTTTTCGGCAAACTTTCGCGGGATTTGTGGGTAATTGGGAAGACAGTATTTCGAGGGGGGCGGGGATGTAATACGAGAATGATTCAAAACTTTAAACTTCATCAATTAGGGGGCTTTAGGTTTGAAAAGAAAACTTGGTTCAGTATCTTTGTAAACTAATTATGTGTTCGCTCAATTTTATAATTGTTTGTATGCCTGAAGATACTTTCATGAGGAATGCGGCCAAGGAAATTCGAACATCCAATTGTATATACATAATTGATGTTGAACTCATTAAACATTGCAATAAGTTGAATTGCAGCAAGAAAATAAAATCACGCTAAACGGAGATATTTTCGTATCTTTTTGCGTTCTCAACATTCATCTACTTTGGTTTGTTGTCTTGTACGGACGTAACCACCGCCAATAATAAATCGTTTTCATGAAGTGGCAGCACTCAGTGATTGTTTTGATGAAGTCTTCTCACCCCCCCACTGATCCAATGATTGACTCGTTGGAAATCTCACACAAAGAAGGCGTGCGAGATAAACGATCCGCGGAGTGGTGTTAAAATTTATTTTAATTTATTTTAATCAACTAAGCGGTGAATCGCAAGTTAGTGACACTGAATGCCTGTTGTGAATGGATGACTAAATAAATCTCTTTTGCGACCAATCATACAATATTAGTAATCAAATTTGGGGCAGTGAGTTTGTTCATCGAATAGAATTGCTAGTATTTGGCTTCAACTTAACGCGAATGAAAGCGTATTTTGTTGTATTTGCGAATGAGTATAACAAAGTGATATTCACACATACCAAAATTCAAAAAGTGATCTTGTATTAGAGAAGTGAAGAAGCAAAATTCGGCGGGTGCTGATGAGAACTGCTGATTGAAAGAAAGCATTGCAGATGGCTGTCATTGAACGAGAGTTGTGATGAGTGTTATGTAATCGGAACGTAATTTGTTATTACTTGAAAATCGAATTGCGCAGCTCTGAAAATACACAATTTCTCTTGGTTTACTCAGTGTTGTGTGAAATTGCTGGAACAAAATTATTGATGCATCATTTCAATTAGAACTGATCTGCTGAATGTTGCTGATNTCGACGCCGTGTCTTGGAAAATGGAGAAACCCAAATGAAGGGATCAGACATATTTGTTCGTGCAGTCAACGACCCATTCGTTTTTGTAGGCATGCTACGTTTGCTACGGACCAAGTTACAAGGGATATGGCGCTCTTTTTTTTTGCACGGGATCGTTAACTTTCTATTCTAAGTCATAGGCTGAGTTTTCGTACGTATCATCTCTACCACCGTCATTCAAATTTCGCCGCACACCATGCAACTTGTTTAATTTAACTCCAGATCTGCGCTCTACCATGTTAAATTAACTGCATACTGGAAAGTAGTGCCTTGAATCTTCTATCGCAAAACATTGCCTCTTCCAAATGGCTTCAACTATTTAAATGTAGACTCCAATCAATCCCGCCAGATAAAATCGGTTTTGTATCCTTGATCAATCCAGATCATCGGTGGAGTGGAACAATTTGAGAAATGTTTACTTATTGTCACTCTGTTTTGTTTCACTATGTATGTTGTTTTTGATAGCTGTACCACGTCAAGCAATGATAATTGTGACGTGTTTTTGATCTGCCAATAATAATGATAATCTGCCAATGTTATACAAATTATGGTTACTACAGTGTGTGCTGTTTCAGTGTACGCTAGTGACATGAGAGTGCGTGAATCGAATTTTAATAGTTTTAATTCTAATACGTTATACTTGATTTTATCTACACAATTTGTTCTCATTCTTTTCCTTTTTCTCCCCAACACCACTTGGGGTAGTATATTTG